TGGCCCTTGGATATGGTCCTGTTCTGGTATTAGAGGCAACACTGTGAACTGGTTAAAAAAAAAAAGCAAGTATCAACAAGTCATTTCTCCTTTGCTTGTATATTTGTTCAGCAATGAGAAACCACTACCCTGTCACCAGGGTTTGAGTGCATTTCTTTTCCTGCAATTCAGTGTTTTTCCTTCTGTAGATATAGCCTATGTGCAGCCAGCAATTGCTCTTGTTAAGGCCTCAGCGGCCCTTCTACATTGAACAGAGTCAATGTCTACAGAAATGAAAAGGCAACTGGCACGAGCTGCAGGCTGTGATCAATAATGTGAACTATAAATAAATGTTTCACCTTAGGAACAAGATATTTTTCTCCACTAATGCCTCATTCTTCAAACAATTACATACATGAATAACATGATTCTTCTGATCAGTGCATGAATCACGTTTCCAAGTGTCTCTGAGACCAGATCCTAAATATGTTGCAGCATCAGTCACTCTCTGCTATGGCTCATTCCTCTTACCCTGCAACCTTGTCTGAACCCCTCATCCCCGAGCACAGGGGTGGAAAGAACCTAGAGTCTTAGGGTAGAAACAGGAGTTGCCAAATGTAAGCAGATCCATCTTATTGAATGAAACGTACATCACCTGTTCTCCCACATCATCCCCGATGTGGGACAATGGGCTATGTGTTCCCCTGGCTGGCTTGTACAGGGTTTTGGGTCCCACCACTGCGTGCACCCTGGGGAGGCAAGGCACGTGCCCCCTGATCTGTGCATGGGACAGAGGCAGACTGCGCAGTGTTCCTCTTCGACATCCATTTTGACGGAACAGTGTTTCATTTCGAGTGTTGTTTCATTTTGAAAGCACTGTTCTGTTCCATTTTGTTGAAATGGTTTTCCTGTTCTGATGCTGTTTCGACCTTTTGATCGGGCTTCGATCGGGCTGAGGAACTCAGCCCGGGTGAGTTCCCCTCCCCGGCACTGCGATCGGCTTCCCGAAGCCCTGTGGAACTCAGCCTGGTGGCGGGAGGCAGAGTGCAGCGGCTCTGCCCGCCTTCTGTCACTGGGCTGAGCTCCATGGGGCTGGCCGAGCCGATTGGAGCGCAGCCTGGCAGCGTGAGGCTGGCACAGACTGCATTCCCATCGGCTCCACCAGCCCCACCAGCCCCACCAAGCACAGCCTGGCTGCAGGAGGTGGGGAAAGCCAGGGCTGAGCAGCCCTGGTTCTCCCCTGTCTCCCACCACCTGGCTGGCTACTTCGAAACTCAAAACGTTTCGAAACTTTCATAACATTTTGACTGCTCTTGTTTTGTTTCAAGGCTGTTTCGAAGCCCTCCGTTTCATTTTGATTTTGCTGTTTTGAGCTCGAAATGAGTTGAAACAGTGTCGAAATGAAACAGTCAGAGAAATTTCGCAGAGCCCTAGTAAACAATAATAAATCTCTATATAGTTAAGTATTTGTATTGGCCTGGCTCTGTAGAGGAGAGAGGAAATTATCCTCCAATGACACACCCCACCCACAGCACTCTCACCTGACCACACCATCTCATCCAACTGAGGACAGGGCACACCCCAAGGGTGTACCCGAGCTACACCTATATACGTATATAGATGTCTTATGAAAAGAATCTCCATGGACTCAATTCAACCAGGGTTTATGATAATCACAGCAGAAAAGTGTTTTAGGTTTATAAAAACAAACAGGCTTGTGATGTTGTGGCAGATCTATACTATGGCTCTTTGCACCACAGAGGGGCCTCTGAGCTACAGGATTTCTACATCTGATCATAAGGAGGTCAACAATGAACCAATTTTCTATCTTAATGTTCTTTAGGAAAATAGGTATTAACTAGGGTGTTCTTTGCCAGGGCTCCCTGACAGCACCCCGATGGACAGGATGTCAGAAAGTCAGTCGGCCCTTCTCCCCCTTGTCGGTAGGAGAGGGAGAGCAAAGCACTGGTGGATATTAAGGGTTGGATAGACTGGGGCAAATGTTAAATGTGTGACAGAACAATTCTGTGCTACAATGAACTTGTCATTTCAAACAACAACTTATTTCAACAACGTCTTTGTATTGGAGTCATCTTTTTTTGTTACAGATGCACCACTTTTATAGTGCAACGCAGTGCAAGCATGTGGCCATTCACATTTTGTCATTCAAGCCACATGTACTGCAACAAGAAATGTAATACCTACCAGCATCCTCATGTGGAGCACGCACAAGCCAGTTCTCCATAAGTTCAGTTTATCCAAGGTAAAGAATAAACTAGAACATTCTGCACCTCTTCCTCCTCTCCAAGTTCAAGAGCTAAGAAGCTTACATGCACTGGCACACCAAACAGACATCATCTATTTTCTCAAGCCACATGTACTGCAACAAGAAATGTAATACCTACCAGCATCCTCATGTGGAGCACGCACAAGCCAGTTCTCCATAAGTTCAGTTTATCCAAGGTAAAGAATAAACTAGAACATTCTGCACCTCTTCCTCCTCTCCAAGTTCAAGAGCTAAGAAGCTTACATGCACTGGCACACCAAACAGACATCATCTATTTTCTTGCTCAGCTACTAAAATCAATTTCCCTAAACATGTTGCTTTGCAATGACATGTAGGCATGATGTCTTCTATAGGTATTTGTCAGTTTTATGTCCATTTCTGATTTCACAGCATGCAAAACTCAGAACATCTGGATTTAAAAGAGGTAGGCAAATCAAACTCTCAAGGATGACTCTATGAGCAAAAGTTATGCAAGCTAAAGTTAATGGGCACTGACTCTTTAGCCGAAGCCTAAAGCTAGATTCTCAGTTATTGTAAATCAGCATAGGTCCAAGAAAGTCAATAGAGCTTAAACCAATTTGCATCAGGACACAGTATGGGCAGGAGCTGTTAACATATGTGAGGAGAAGATGGTTATTTATATGGATACCTGAAAGATGCAATAATTCAAGAAGTAGGACAAAACCAGTCCATCATCTCCCAGCCAAAAAGACACACTGATTAAGTTTAGAGGAGTCTACAAGTCTCATCATTGTCTACTAATATCTAAAGAAGGGAGGGAAAGCTTTATTGATTAGACTGTACAACACCTTAGTAGTTCAGGGGATCCAACCTGACACAGTCATGCTTTCCTGCAACTGTGTTGTACCCTTGATTTTTGTCCTCTGGGTCAGGCCCAGTATCTCTACCTGTGAAACAGGGCTGTGCAAAATGTCTATGTTTAGTTTCCATTTCAGATTTGGCCATTTTGGAGGGACAGTGATTCGTTTTGATATTTTGGGTCACTCTTCCATTTTGATTTGGCTGAATCTGTTTCAGAGTTATGACACTATTTCAGCTTTGATTCTGAAATTCAGATCAGCCGGGAAGAGGCAGGCACAGCCAGGCAGCTGCAGGTTCTCCCATGGGTCCTCTGGTTGTGCCTGCCTCTTCCTGGGTGGGGGGAGCCATGGGAGAAGACTCCATGGCTGCCCTGCCTGGCCCAATCTCCGGCCTGGCCCCAGCCTCCCAGCACTTAAAAAAGAAAAAAAAAAAAAAGCCCTGCACTCATCTTCTGCAGCAGCGGTGATCAGAGCCTTGGAGGGCTCATGGCAGAGACCCACTATGCAGTGGGGGGCAGCAGGGATTGCCTTCCCCCCCACTTGGTACCTGCACAGCAGCTATCATATGCTTTCTGGCAGCTGGGGCGGCTCCACCTGTCAGCTGGAGCCTGGCACCACTCAGCCCCAGCTCCCAGGCAGCGTATGGCACCCTGCTGAGCTGCACTGCACCCACGCCATGGGGCAGCTGCCATGCAATCTTCACTGCTCCCCACCGTCCTACACTGCATGGGTGGGGCTCTGCCATGAGCCCACAAAGGCCCTGATTGCCACTGCTGCATCCAGTGAGTGCGGGGTGTTGTTTTGTTTTTTAAAGTGCCGGGAGGCTGGGGCTGGGTAAGGCAGCCATGGGGGCTTCTTGTGAAGCTCCCCCAGCCCTGGGAGAGGCAGGCACAGACAGAGGAGCTGAGGGAGAACCTGCAGATGCCTAGCTGTGCCTGCTTCTCCCCAGCCGATCCCAATCTCCGAATCAGCGTCGGAACTCCGAAACAGATGCAGCCAAATTGAAATGGGAGAGTGATCCGAAACACCAAAACGAATCACTGTCCCTCCAAAACAGACAAATCCACAACAGAAATGAAACATAGCTGTTTTGTACAGCCCTTAGGCTCACTTTCTCTCCTGCTCTCTCTCCCCCATATTTGTCCAGAGTAACAGAAAACAATTTGGCAATGCAATACAGAGGCAGCCTAAGTCAGTACAAGGATGTCTTCTGAAAAAAACCTCCATGAGCTCAGTTCAAGCAGGGCTTGTGATAATCACAGCAGAAACGTGTTTTAGGTTTATAAAAACAAACAGGTTTGTGATGTTGTGGCAGATCTATACTATGGCTCTTTGCACCACAGAGGGGCCTCTGAGCCACAGGATTTCTACATCTTCAGCAGAAACATGCTTACAGAAGTTCTTAGTGACACACAGCTAAGTGCCAGGAAAGGTAGTTGCCACATTTGGACCACAAATCCCTTACTAAATGTTATGATTTGCCAATACCATTTTCTTGTTTTGCATGCTTCTCTCTCTCCCTTGTCTGCTTAGAAAGGCATGTTCTGATACAATTGAGAACTAGCTTCGGTATAAATTATGCCACTATTTATTTATGTTTGCAATCAGATTACTTAAGTACTTAATGGGCATAATTTTTTGAAGGATTTATTTCTAAGGAAAAAATCTGTAGCCTCCTTCACTTCTAGTAACTTGATCCTGGATGTAAAAACAGTAGCTAGAGATTTTTTTTTTTCAGTTGGAAATGAATATTTGATTGCATCTCCTTTCCTTTGCTAGGAGACATGAAAAGTTGACCAAGATTTTACTTACATGTCACTGCCCTGAACTCACAAGTATTATATTAATTACTTGCAATAGAGAAGATGATGAATCATTGTGGATGAAAATTGCACATGCACTGGTGGGAGTGGCCATGGCTTTAAATTTCAGCACTCCACCGGACAAACTTCCGGACAAACACCGGACAAACTCCACCGCACCAAACTTCCCAACCAGCCTTTAGCACCACATCCAAACAGGGAAGGTAAATATTTCTGGTGCTTTATCTTTAATGTCCTTCTTACTATTCGTATCATTGCAATGACCTTAGCGGTGAACTACCTGGTACCTTTGCATTGTATTGTGTTGACCTAAGGAGTTGTTTCTTGTGGGGAATTCAACAGCATAGATACTGCTGGATAGGAACATATTTGCCTGAAACTTTTGGTGGATGCAAGGCAGTATTTTTCATGCCGTAGTTTTCTCATTTGCCAGTTCTGGAGACAGTATTTTAAGGGTCAGATAGAAGAAAATCCAAAACCGTTTGCAAGTACAGTGCAGGTATACAGCAGAAAACATTCCTGAATATTCTTGTGAATAAAACCAGCAGCTTTTCTGCAAGTGTTCCCAGCTCCATGCATTTCAAGGCATTTGGCTGGGCAAATTTTCATTACAAGTATCTTTGTGGAAAGCAGAATTGTGAGCATACTGGCAGGAATAAGTTTTTATCTAAGTGTCTGCACTGGAAGTGCTCCTGTATTCAATATCAAAAAGCTCTTTGTTATCGTGCAGAAGATTAATTGAATGAGGACTTCCCTTCCTGCCTCTCAAGGGGACACCAGGATTTTGATCAATGTGCACAGGTGTAAGCGAAGCTACTTGCCTTCTGAGTGTTCTCCTGGAAGGATGGGAATTGCAAACACCAGGGAATGGGAAAAGCATTGGCTCCACTGATGTATAACTGATGGGACTAAAACCAGCAGCTTTTCTGCCGGTGTTCCCAGCTCCATGTATTTCAAGGCATTTGGCTGGGCAAATTTTCATTACAAGTATCTTTGTGGAAAGCAGAATTGTGAGCATACTGGCAGGAATAAGTTTTTATCTAAGTGTCTGCACTGGAAGTGCTCCTGTATTCAATATCAAAAAGCTCTTTGTTATCGTGCAGAAGATTAATTGAATGAGGACTTCCCTTCCTGCCTCTCAAGGGGACACCAGGATTTTGATCAATGTGCACAGGTGTAAGCGAAGCTACTTGCCTTCTGAGTGTTCTCCTGGAAGGATGGGAATTGCAAACACCAGGGAATGGGAAAAGCATTGGCTCCACTGATGTATAACTGATGGACAGAATTGCTGAGTCAATATGATTGGTAGAAGTTTACTGCTGATACAGACATTTACTGTGAAGGTGACTGATTAGCCCCGCAGTAAATGTCTCTCAGCGCCTACATCTTCGGCCCTATTAATTTGAATTAAACTAATGAACTTCACCATAGGATAGTACTTATGAACACGTAAATACTAGCCTGCATCAAGAGTTTTTTAGTGCACAGCGACACACGTGTATACACTGATGTGTCTGGCTGGGGCATCAGGGCGCTCCAGTGCAGGCTGTGCATGCCTGCTTACCCCATACTGGAGCACCCTTGTGCCCTAGTCAGCCCCTCTGCAGTACGTTGAACCGGGTTGGAGCAACCCCAGGCTGGCACGCGGCAGGCTGACCCCCTTCCAGCCAAAGCTGCTCTGACCTGGCTCAATGTGCTGTGATCCTGGGCACACATTCCAACGCAGCACCCAGGAGCAATATCTGACATGAACTGTGCCAGAATTTATTGCTTTGAATTAATTGCATGTGTAGAAATGCCCCCCGTGCCTAAAGTCACTCTACATTAGCTTCAAATTGGTTTTAAAAGATCACTGGTTGCAAATACACTGAGAACCAGGAGGGGTGGATACGAGGAACAGAATGACTTGGCTTCTTCCTATGGAGCGAGTTATTAGTGCTGCCTGTATTCGAGGGGTACAAAACATGGGCTTTACAGAGAGGACACAGAGCTTTCCCAGAGAGTTTACAAACAGCAGTTAGTGAGCAAAAGAAGGAAAGAAGTCTTTCATCTTTCTCTGGACCAAGTATGTAGCAGTGCTTGCTGTCGCCCTGGCAAAAGAACATCCTATTTAATAGCTGTTTTCCTAAAGAAAATTAAGATAGAAAATGTGTTCATTATTGATCAGGGCTGAGATGATGCTACTAGAGATGCACAGACTCCTATATCTTTTAATCATTTAGATATGCATACTGAGATGTTTCTTTAAAAATGTATTCTTACATAGAATGTAGCACAAATAATGACGATTTTCATTTCAGTGGGCCACGATTCTACTGGGTAATTTAAAAGCTCCATTACAACAGCAGTGAAGTGACTTAAGAGCACTAGTTTCATTAAAGTCCCGTCCCATTCCCTCATCCCCCTTCTCCCCTCCCATAAATACATGGGCATTTCAGTGACTTCTGTATACACTGTGTGCACACTAAGTCAGGATCTGCCCCCATTTATAGAGCGCTTATTTACATGTGTTAGGCAAAAAAAATCTTTATTAAGTTGAATTAATCTATAAGGTGCCAGTCTGCCCTGTCTTCTTCATTAAGGGCATGTCTACACATTGCCATAGCAATGCACTATGTTGCTGTACAGCATGCTGCGCTGATGTAGCGATCACACGAGTCGACACGTAATTGCTAGCTACGTCGCTGTAGCAGTGCACTCCTATTTTAGCACACCACAACAGCAACGTAGTGGCAAAATCTAACCTTGTGTTGCGTGCACAGCACAGTACGGGGGGTTACTGCATTGTGCTTTAGTATTTCCAAAAGGAAGTACTAAAACACATTGCTGTAGCAATGTCACCGTACGGCAACCCGTAAACACGCTGTAAGGATGTTATGTGCACAGTACCTGCAAGGAGAGGACTAAGATATATGCATTCCTTAAGAGATTCTATTCATTAAGGAAAGGAAGATGACATTCTTCACTGATATTAATTCCATTGGTGTCATTATTTGCAGAGAATTTGGTACATCACTAAAGGGAAGGCAATTGCTCTCAGCTTTGGATGTAAAATGGATAGAGTCAATATACCACACGCTTAGACTCCTGGACACATGTAAACCTTTAGATCACTTTATTCAGGTTAAAGTTAGTATAACATAAGGATTCCACAAGCCTTGGGGAAGTCTAAGCAATAAAAGTAAGTAGGGACTGAATTGTACAACCTGTGGAAGGTAAGTCAGAAAGCAACTGTGATTGATTAATCTGCACATACAGTGAACCACAGAAAACTGTTACTGAGAAGTGATAAATATCTACATTCAGGTGGTTGGCCACGGGGAGGATATAATTTGCAGTTTATGAAAAAAAAAGAGCTTTATGAGAGATGAGAGTTCTTCATGATATCTTCTATTGGACCAACCGTGTTAGTTGGATGAGTTGTGCGACACACTTTCAGGCACCATGTGCTCTTCCTCAGGTCACAGAAAGCTGCCAGTTAGCATTTCATCAGTGAGAGGTGGGAAAAGGCTCCTTCTGTCTGAAAAGGAAAAGGCACGAACTAGGAGACAGTCATGAGTCTCAGACTTTAATTCTCTTGTCCCAGGCTTCACCGTCTTCACCATGGCCTCACTCAGCAAAGCAAATGCTGAATTCTGCTTTGACTTTTTCAAAGAGGTCCAGAAATCAAAAAGAAATGAAAACATCTTCTTCTCCCCTCTGAGCATCTCTTCAGCCATGGCCATGGTCCTCCTGGGTGCTAGAGGCAACACGGCCAAACAGATGGAAAAGGTAGGCTTTCCTCACTCTGCTACTGTCAACACTGCCTGTCAGTGCAGTGTCAGAATACAGGGGACTCCAAAAATGTTGTTAACAACGCACAGGATCTGAATAATAATGGTCAGATTTATAAGCCTACATTTGAAGCTTTTGACACATGTTTCCCGCATGTAGGAAACAATAATCCAGCAAATCAAGGGGGCCCTCAGGAAGGGACTTATGCCTTTCAGGCTACGTCTACACAGTAAACTCGCTATCTTTAGCAGTGGTGCTAGGCTCTGCATGGGTTGCCTCCATGACTGGAAGCTTGCTGCATGGCAGAATTGGCTGAGTTGTTATTGATGGGTTCCCTCCAGGGCATCCTTCCCTTCCCTACTGGCTAACCAAGGTGTGTCAGGCCTTGGCCCCAAACAAGAGCTCTTTAGGAAACTCTGCTGTCCATTCAAATGCATCGCCAATGAAATGAAGTACATGAGCTTCCCTACCTGGCATGTCTAAAGGGTTTTACAGTGTGCCAGGGGACATGCCAATCCAGCCTCAAAATTATGTTCTGATGACAGTTATAGCTGCAATCACCCAGCATTTTTGTTTCAGGTGCTTCATTTTGATGCAGTTTCGAGTTCTTCTGGAGGAAGGACAAACCATGGTAGCTCTGAGGTAAGGCAGCAGGTACCTCAGGCTTGTCCTTTTCCCTTGGTATCAGCACTTCCCCAGAGAACGGCATAGATCTGAGCATCCTGTCTTCCCAAACTCTCATTCCATATATTTACACTACATAAGGCCCATTTTTATTATATGAGTGGCATCTTTTTTTAATAAATAACCCTCTCTTTCAATGCTTGCAAGTGTTGAGCTGGACCATGGCAACCTGAAAATGAAAGACACTGTGAATGAGGAAAGTCCTTTTTTCTCATTTTTTTGGAAAGTGGAGGTAGAAATGTTTCATGTCCCTTCTTCTATGCCTATGATTGCTAAGAGGGAGAACCACAGAAAGAGAAGAATCCAGACAGAATAGTTTAACAAAGAAAAATATATCTTTGTATGATAACTAAAGAAAAGGCCCTCATGTTGAGGTCTACAATAAGGGTGCTAGTCCATGATTCATAGATGTTAGGGTTGGAAGGGACCTCAATAGATCATTGAGTCCAACCCCCTGCATAGGCAGGAAAGAGGGC